CTCTCGACGTGTTCGAAACCAGTTTTTTTTAGTTCGGTTCTCTTGTAGTAGTGTTTCATTTGTAGAAATGCTTTATTGAGTGTGTGTGAGTGTGTTTAAATATGAGTCTATATGCGGGCGTTCGTACACACACAATGTATGAATGCCAAAACATTTCTGGTCTTGATCTAAAAAAAAAAAAAAAAAAAAAAAAAAAAAAAAAAAAACATCTAATAGTGACAGAGGTTGTGGGCGAAGGTAGCTTGTAACAAGTAGCCCCACTCCTTCATGATGAAATCATAGTTGGCAACTTTTGAGGCTATACTCCATCCCTTTGCCTTTATTCATTGCATTTTTTTCTTGGCTTCGATTTCGATTATTTTCCTGCCACTGATATTACTGAACCATTTCAAAGTAAATGCACGGAAAACACTGACCTGGTAAAAAAAAAAAAAAAAAAAAAAATAATAATAATAATAATAATAATAATAATAAGGCAGAGCTACTGATATCATCACGTTTAACCAACGAGAGTGTGCTATGATATATCAGACATAGCTAGAAACATAATTAATTATATAATTTACTCGATATTGTTTTATTACCAGAAGAAAACAAAACACTTATTTAGGATAACGAGGAGTCCCTTTCTACATTAATAGCCTTTACAATACCCTTGGGAAAAAATCAATTTCATATTTAGGTTCAATAGGAAAGTGGAGCTACTAGTTACAGTTAAAACTCATACCAAACCCGTTTCGAATTCCGTCTCGAACATCCGCTTCAATACCGCACTTTTTGTAAAGAGTAAAACCGATTCGAAGCTTCATTTCATAACAAAACGTTTGTCCGCCACTGTACCTTGTGTTGGGTAATTCGCAGGGACCCATGAGTACGTGCACTTCCCCATCCACCTCAAGGACCAGGCTGACCGTGGCTATGCCTGGAGGTCGTGGGACAGCCTTGAGATCGTCGAGTATGACTCGGATGTTGTGTAAGTATCTACAGGTCAATAATGTCTGTTGTGTAAGTATCTACAGGTCAATAATGTCTGTTGTGTATCTACAGGTCAATAATGTCTGTTGCGTAAGTATCTACAGATCAAAAATGTCTGTTGTGTAAGTATCTACAGATCAAAAAAGTCTGTTGTGTAAGTATCTACAGATCAAAATGTCTGTTTTGTAAGTGTCTACAGATAAAAAATGTCTGTTGTGTAAGTATCTACAAATCAATAATGTCTGTTTTGTAAGTATCTGCAGATCAATAATGTCTGTTGTGTAAGTATCTACAGATCAATGTCTGTTTTGTAAGTATCTACAGATCAAAATTGTCTGTTGTGTAAGTATCTACAGGTCAACAATATCCGTTGTGTAAGCATCTACGTACATATTTATATATTCAGTAATTATACACTTGTTATGGATATAGATGGATAGTTAGATAGCTTGCTACAGTTGATAGTAGTAGATGTATATAGATATATATATATATATGTGCGTGTGTGGTCAGAGGATAACGATTATTGCTACCATCATACGATTAAAGATAAATGTTAGTGAAAATTTAATGTACCATTAGTGTCCAAAAAGATATGTGGACCTTGTAAGTATAGGTAATGCTAACTGATAAATAAATACTGTCAAATGTGTACAAGACGTTACACACACACACACACACACACACACACACACACACACACACACACACACACACACACACACACACACACACACAGAGAGAGAGAGAGAGAGAGAGAGAGAGAGAGAAGAGAGAGAGAGAGAGAGATTATGAGATTATGAGATTATACCTTTGCCACACCTCCTTCACACTCATGTCAAATCTCCATCACCCCTTCGCCCGCCCTTATCCCCAAGACCCAGTGGCCCTTTGCCCTGCAGGTACGAAGGCGAGCTGCACTACCTAGGCTACCGCGGCCGTTGGGGCAACCAGAAGCGGGGCTGCGAGGTGGAACCTGTCTCCGGAGAGTGCATCCTGGGGGTCCTGGCTAGGTCCTGGCTATTGGCCTCAGGGACCCGGGGACTTCCCTGAGGATGGCTGTGGCGCCTGAGAGATGAAAATCGCGTGGAAATAGACTGTTGTAATGTAAAAGATGAAAGTAAATGGGAATAAAATAGGATGATGAAAATATAAGTTTAAATGCTCTCTTTTTTCACGATGAAAGTAAGTCAGCCTAAATGATGGCATGAAAATAAAGAATGTTCGCTGAACATTATGTTTAACATAGATTGATCAAACTCTTTTACGGCGGAACCTAATGCTAAAAGCAAGAAGTACCTGATTTTAAACGAAAACCCTTTCTTTTTACACATACATGCGATATCCAGACCAATTTTTACTCTGTGGACTGGATCTTTCTCGACCCAAAAACACCAGAACACAATTATAAATGGGCTCAAATTAATTAGATTACAGTTTGGGAAAGGTTATTGGGAAAATCATCTGATTTAGAGTTTGACTTTAACATTTACCCTATCATTTTTTTCAATCTTGTTTTTTTTGACCACTTAAACTTTTTTCCGTCTTCTATATTTCAGTATTATTATGTGGAAGACTTTAACTGAAGAAGACCTCTTGGAATATTAAGCTGCTAATGACAAAGGTACATGCATAAACATTTAAATATATTTCCATAATTTCTATTTTCTACAATAGATGGCTCCACAAGTCCTGTTTCCCAATTACTAGGCTTAACCAAACACTTTTCATCCTATTCATTAAATTTTCATAAAGGAAAGTTTTTCCTTTCATTACCATTAATATTACAGTTAAATGCTAATACTACTGTTATTACTACTACTACTACGATTATTACTACTACTATTATTACTACAACTATTATTACTACTACTGTTATTACTACTACTACTATTATTACTACCACTACTGCTATTACTACCACTACTGCTATTACTACCACTATTATTACTACTACTACTATTACTACTACTACTGCTATACTATTCTACTTACTACTACTACTAACTATTATTACTACTACTATTATAACTACTACTATTATTACTACTACTATTATTACTACTACTATCACTGCTATTACTACTACTACTGCTATTACTACTACTACTGCTATTACTACTACTACTACTACTACTACTACTACTACTTATTATTACTACTACTGCTATTATCACTACTACTATTATTACTACTACTATTATTACTACTATTTATACTATTATTATTACTACTACAACTATTACTACTACAACTATTACTACTACTATTACTACTACTACTACTGTTACTACTACTACTATACTACTAACTACTACTACTATTACTACTACTACTAATAATAATGATAATGAATAACAATATGAACTTGAATACTGACAATAAAAGCAATAATAACTTGAATAAAGATAATAAGGACAATAATGATAACAGAGATATAGACTTTTTTGCTGAAAACTAAAGAAATGGAGAAGATGCATTTCATTCCCACTTGAGTATAGCTTTTCAATTGAATTTGTGCATAGATAACTCCACAAATACTTTATACAATGACCCTCCCAAAACATAGCTCGTTGTCGTGGGAGGGCTTACGAGACGGGGACTGAGACCTACTGTAGAGGATAACCCCTACCTTGGGCCTCAGCCCTTGCCTCAACTAATTTTGCTTGGTCCTTTCTTCTCTTCTTTCCTCTTCCGTATTTTCTTTACTCCCTTCTATCCCCTTCCGAAGGTGTGAGAGCCGTGCTAAAAGGATGAAAGGCTGGCTTTGTGTCAGTCACAAACGGCCTCCGGGAGCCATGGGCACAGTATTCCCTTGGTTATTTATTTAGCCTTTACCTTTTATGGGGACCCTAAGTGGTAGACCATTTCTTTTCCCCAGTTTATTCAGGCTCACCATGGCCAGTAATGAAGATTCTTTTCCCTTGATAGAGGCATTAAGGCTTGCCCCTTTATGAAATAGCCTATCTGAATTTGATTTTGATGGTTTGCCGACCCCTTCCCCTCCTTGGACCACGTCTCGGACCACTGATGCTAATACCCCCTCTTCGACGCTTACGAACAACTCTAACCATTCTGAAAAACCCATTCAGGTTATTACTCAACCCCTGGAAAATACCTTTTCCTCATCCCCAATATCCTCCTCTTCATCCCCTAATGCACGACCCTCTTCAATGTCAACCCTCTCTTCCCTTATTACTACTCTTCATCGTTATTGTCTTCCCCCCCCGCAGAACTACTCCACTCCACACCACCCCATCTTCCTCTCGCCCTCGTCCTTCTACTACCTCTACTTCTGCAAACCTTCTGGGTACTCTATTTGGCCCAGCAAAGTGGGATCGATTCTTTGTGATTCCCCCCACAGCCCCCTATTCTGAGAATACCCTTCTCTTTCAGCAGTGCCTCCAGAAACAAGTAGGCAAGGTTACCTTTCACAGTCGCTCTGATCGTTCACGTCTTGTCACAGTTACATCTGAAGCTCAAGCTCGTGCACTATCTGCCCTAACTGACCTTACTGGCAAACCCATTCCTGCTGAACCTCATCCAACTCTTAATACTTGTACTGGAACTGTTTCTATTCCCCCAAATGCTTGTCCCATATATAACAAGGACTGGCCAGACTGTGAAAATGACCTACTTTCTTGCCTTGATGAATATGATGCAGTGGCAGTACAGTGTTACACTCTTCCTCCCAGAGGCCAACATAAATCTCAATATTGCCAAGATTAGCTTCCATAAACAAGACCTCCCCCATGAGGTTATATTGGTGGATTGTCTTATCATGTCTGACAATATCAACCCCTTCCTCGTCAATGTCAAAAATGTTGGCATTTTGGCCACCCAGCCAAACATTGTCGCTCCACAGCCTGATACCCTTTATGTGCCTAACATGGTCATGACTGTTCAAATTGCCCGGCTCAGTCACGTACATGTGCCAATTGTGGAGACTCCCGTAATGTGTTTTATAGGAGCTTCCCTGCCTAGAAGTTTGAATGTGAGGTAGCAGTCCTCAGATTTAAACTAGGCCTCACTCTACAAGAGGCCAGACAGGAAGCACGACGACGAGGTTTTTCTCTCTCAACTTATTCCAAAACAGTCCTGCGCTCTGCTCCCTCACTATCTACACAAGATATTTCTGCATCTCCCCAGGTATCTTTTCCCAATACCCAAAACCTATGTCCTATGTCTACTCACCCTATCCACCAGTCAAATCCATTTTCCATCCTAAATCCACATACTCCAGATACCCCTCCTCCTCACTTTAGTGGTCGTACCAGACAACCTAAACGTTCCACTCCACACTCTCCTACTACATTCTCTCCTACATCTTCCTCTTCATCTGTTCCTCAGATATCCAACTCCTCTTCTCCTCCTTATAAGAGAACCTTTGTTTCTCAGTCCTCTATACCAAATTCCCCTTCAGAAACCTTGAAAGACATCCGAAACTTCCTAAAGATGACCAAGGGAACTCTCGTCCCTCAGCCCCCAGGTCCCTCTGTTCCTACTCCTGCTACATTTAAAGTATTTGTTGTAGATATTCATTGCCTCCTCCTTCCCAAGTTCCCTCCACCTTCCTTCTCCCTATACCCTGACTCCTCCCTCCCGACATACCCCAGCCCTTCTCTACCACTTGAATACTCACAGAATCCCTCTTATCTCAACTTGTCCTTTTTCTCCAGACCCATCTCTCTCTCCAAACATTTTTTTTCCTAGTGCTCTACCGCCTTCCCCAGTCTCTCAGCCCCTGGATTCTTCTCCTCCTAGTTTCTCAACAGCCACCTCTGTTTCGCTAGTCACAGATACACTGCAGTTCACTCACTTGCTCTGCCCCTTATGTTCCCCAACCCTTCCCAAGATGCCTCATCCTTCTCAACCACCCAAAGCCCATGACCACCCAAACTGAACCTCCCCCAAAACCCCATCCTTCCTCTTACTATCCCTCCCACTCCCTTCGTGGATATACACGTGAATCTCTTTTATCACAGTATTTTCCCTAAGATCCCCACTGTCCCTATTAGAACCCCCAGACATCAACTCCTTTCAATTATTCCTGATCCTTGTGTCTCAACCCCCAGATACCTATCCCTACTACTAATAATACCATATATAACATATCATCAGCCCTATTCTCTCCAGTTCAGTCAGAGATACAATACAATTCATTTAATCAATCTGTCCTCCTTAAGCCTTTCCCATGTTTATAAATCACGATCTTCTACTCATTTACTCCCTCCTTTCCCCTTCCTTTCCCCTTTTTCATTACCATACTTTTCTGTAACACCGCTCTATTTCTTTGATATTTAACACCACGCCCTATCCCCAGATTTTTTCTGCTTACTTTTCAAAGCTTCTCATTCTTCCTTGAACATTTCCTATACATTCTCCAGTGACAGATGACACTATAATTCACTTCATCGCCCTAGCCTCCCGTTTTTACTAACTTCTGGTCTAGCTCACTTGCTCCCCTATCCCCCTTTTTCACTACCATATTATCCTATAACGTTTCTTTAAACCTTTGACTCTCTAACACATTTTATCATAATCTTTATCTCTCCTTTGCCATTTCCGACGCAATACTTTACCATAGTGCTATATGACCTCAGATTTCTAGCACATTTATTTTCAAACATTAAAATTTATTACTAGTTACTACCCATCTCGCCTGTTTACTCTGTTTCCCTTGTTTTATTTTCTTTTACTCTTTATATTGCTATTAATAATGATAATGCCATTTTATATATGACTTATTGTCTATTGAAATGATACCAACATTAGTATTTAAACCATTAGTTAAAATATTGTTTTTCCGTAAACACAGAAAGTGTGAAATTAGGCGAGATCACGAGTGTTTACTTATTGCCTCTCGTGAATAGCTGATACTTGTGGAGCCTAAACAATACTAAACAATACTATAGTAAATACTATATCTTCTCAGCATCTCTTGGTTAAAAGAGTAATAAGCATTTACTTTGATACTGTTTTTCCTGTCTTTCACTCTTCTATTTCCTAAGATATGGGAGGTTTTGAGAATATTAAGATAAACGCATAAAAAGACTTTCATCATTTTTATTTGATTAGTTCTTCTTTGGTGTCCGTTGGCACACTTCACCATATGCTCGTATCTGACATTCTTTCAACACTGCAGTGGAAAACACAGGAAGTGGAAATCCTAAGACGAGATTGGCTTAACAAGAAAAATGGTAAATTGGAAGTTATCTATAAATGCTATTATTACAAAGAAAATGAATCTCGACTTCACAGAACACGCTACCTAACCAGTGACACCGTCTGATATCAGTGTGACCAGTGTAAACAAAATAGCACACATGAAACATACGAGTTTGTTAGTTATATCATAAACATAAGAGACTAGCACTGGTACATTTTGTCCGCTCCTTTTTGTCTCCAGATCGTGTACGTGATTTTGGCGTGTCCTATCTCTTTGGTAGTTAATGAATATTTTTCTTCGTGTTTTGTTTTGCTCTGTTGATTGTATTTTTGTTTGTTGGCAGGTATAGAAGTTCTGTAATGTTAGAGGTTGGTTGGTTATATTGATTGTGATATTTGTATATAGTCATTATTTGTCATTTTTTTTTCACAATTAATGGGTGTTTGTTTTTTTTAATCTGAGTGAGTCCTTTTAACAGTAGTTTTAGGTGAAGTAGAGTAGAGGGATTGAGAAAGGATAAAACTAATGATAAAAAGTAATAGTGCTTTTGTGTCTTTAATGTCTCGAGATTTTTCAATCAGTATTTCAGATGTAGACTCTTGAAATTTGTATTCTAGATGTCATTGTTGAGGGTAAGGTAGTGGAGAATTTATAGTGAAGTCTATGTTGTTCTTATTATAGAAATCTGGAGAAGATGTGACAAGTGGTAGTGGTTAGCTGTTATTTTTGTTTTGTTTTTTTTGTTGTTTTCGTTAGAGGTTGGCTTAGTTAAATTTTTTGTATCCGTCTAGTTCCGGATAAGCGAAGTCATATATCTATATATATTTTTAGGTATTATTGTGTCTATCAATATATCTTATACCTTTTATCTTAATGTCGAAGAGCAACAACGTGTAAATATAAGTGATTGATTCATTTTTTGCGATGTTTTTGTTGTTTTTGTGTAACTGATGAGTAATCTATTTATGCAGTGTGTATTTGATGATAGATGTTGAGACATTTGATCAGTGTTTAGTTAGGTTTTTTGGTTTGTGTGTTTGTTTCTATGTATGCAGTTGGTTTATTTTAGTGTTTGTTTTTCTGTTTTTTTTGTTAGTGGTGTGTTGTTTTTGTTTTTTTGGGTGTTTTGTTGTTGGTTGTTGTTGTTTTGTTTGGTGTGTGTTTTGGTTTTTGCTTTGTGTTAGTGTGTGTTTGTTTTGTGTTTGGTGGGTATGGGTGGGGTGTTGTGGTGTTGTTGATGTGTGTTGTGGGGTGGTGTTGGTGTTGGTGGTTGGGTTTTGGCTAGTGCATCTGAGGGATAGTACCTATGGATATCTTTCTGTATGAATAGTTGTCTTCCATTGGTCGAAGATTTTCCCCGTGCTGCCTCCTCACGTTTTATAATTTGGTTCATAATAATAATGGCAAAAGTTAACTATAATGATATGTTTGCTTCTTGGTCCAGGTAGGATGGTGTGATTTAGTTTTCCTTACAGTGTGTATTCATGTGTGGTAATGTTCTGTTTGCGCAATAACTGGTGTTTATCATTATTGCTTTGTGGAACGATTGTGAGAAAAACTGTTGTGTATAATCGATAATATTAGTGCAGGCGTATGGGGTGGGCTTTTTGACTTTTGCAATGTACATTGTTGGTGATGAATATTGAAAAATTATCAATATTTTCGGGAAGGTTATCTTATATAGTTATCTTTTTTTTTTCGTAATAAATGATATGCCATTTAAATGTTTTGTAGTCAATTTTAATTCGTCGTATGTTTCGTGGCATCTTTTGCTTGTTCCTAAGTTCTCTCTTGTACTTTGCTCTTGTGTCAATGGAGTATATCTTGAGTTTTTGCATTATGTGAGTAAGTAATGTTGACTCGATGTGTTGATTCTTTGATTGGCCATTGGTCTTACTATGTGGTAATGTATATTCTTAGTATTTATGTATCACTCTGACATTAATTTTCACGTTATAGTACTGGTGATATTGTCAGATAAAATAAGATATATCTGATTTTATGCATGTTATATATGTCTTTAAGATCGGCTTCGAGTGTATCAAAGGAGCCACCTTCAAGTTATGGCATCACTCATATGTTCTTATTCTCATGAAAATAACGAAATAATTGTAAGTGCTTATTAAACATGAATATGTGGTCTATGAGTGATCTACAAATCATGTCTGCTTGGTCACATTTATTTATACTGAAATGGGCAATTAATGATATTAGATAGAATTCTTTAGATGTGCTTCTGTTTGCTTCTTATTAATTGATAATAGTTTTTCTTGTTGTATTGAACTTTTTTTGTGCCTTTGTAAATGTTATAATAATTGTTTCTTTGTCAGGGTGAATAGTATCGATTTTCGCTTAATTTTCTTCGTTTCAGATACATTGTTTTGGACAGAAATGCAGAAAAAAATGAAAAATTCAATGAGTCTTTTTACAACTTCTCTTTCATCTTTGAAATATAATGTAATCCTTCTTTATGCTTTGCGCCTGTTTTCATTCATTTTTTTGTAGTTTTTTTGTGTGTTTGTTTGTTTTTGTTGTGTTGTTGTTGTTTTGTGTTTGTTGGGTGTGTTTTTGTTTTTTGTTTGTGTTTTTTGTTTTTTTTGTGTTGATTTTGGTTGTGTGGATTTTTGGTTGTAGGTCTACACTTCTTCCATTTCCATATAAGTTAGTCTTTCATATACATAGAAGGCGAGTGCCTCTTTTATTGACAAACATTGTCCGTTTATTATATGTGTTTTTTGTTTGTTGAGAAGTTTTTTTCTTTCTGTATATTTAAACTTGCATGTTGTTTAGTTTTTTTATGAGATTCAAGATATAGTATATGAGGTTTACTTGATCTGTTTGTTGTTCCTTCGTGGTATTGCATTTTTTTTACAGATTAAGATTGATATCCTGTTAATTCAGATGTTGAATGTTTAGTCTACAGGAGGAGGTAGTAAGAGGATTTCAAATGTTGATAGTGTGAGATAGTGTTGTTTACTGTTTTTTTGTTGTTTGGTTTTTTCATTCTCTTAACCTGTGTCTGTGCATAATAATTAATTTTAGTCGTTAAGCAACCGTTCGATGTCCATTAGGTGGGGTGTATCCTATATATCATATTCTGTTAGTCATTCTTACAGGTGTTTCTGGTGTCAGGGATGGCGGTGCTAGATAATGTGAGCTTTCAGTGGAAAGAGAGTCTGTGTTCTTGCTAGGGGAGTGCATATGCTGCCGTCTCTGAAGGTTGTTCTTTGTTTTCCTGTGTTTTCCAATCTTCTGGAAGAAGTTTTAATATCTGAGAAGCAGATAATGGTCATTTTTTAACTGTAGTAATTTCTGTGTGTGAGAGATGTTTTTGTTTGTGTTTGTGAGAGTTGTGTATGTGTGATGTGGTTGTGTTGTGGTGTTTGTGAGTAGTGTGTGTTTTGTGTGTAGATGTGGGTGGTGGTTCTGTTGGTGTGTGTGTTGTGAGAGTGTGTGTTGTGTATGATGTGTGTGTGTGGTTGTTAGTTGGTGTGTGTTTGTGGTTGTGAGATGGTGTTTGGGTGAGAGATGTGTGTGGTGTGAGAGTGTGAGCGTGAGTGTGGTGTGTGAGGATGTGTGAGGAAGTTTGTATGTTGTGTGATGAGTGAGTGGTGTGTGTAGTGTTGTTGTTGGATTGTTGGGGGGGATGTTGTGTGCATTCTAATTTGTTGTTGTGCTGTTTTTTGATCTTGTTTATTGATTGTGGTTATGAGGTATGTGAGTGTGGATTTGTTTTTGATTTTGTTGTTTGTTGGTTTTTGTTGAGTGTGTGAGTGTAGTATGTTGTTATGAGTGTGTGAGTGTGCATGTACGTGTGCCTGAGTTCGTGTATGTGTTTATGCGTGTATACATTCAATCATATCCATCTTGATAAAAACTAATATTTTTACAAATACTCTTTGAGTAAAACTATTTCTAATCCTTAATATATAATAAGCACTTGAGACTCCACCATCTCTGCATACTTACTGGTAATCAGAAATGCCCCTAATGAACATGTAATGGTCCTTGCGATTGCCATAGATGGATTCCACAACTGCATCAAACTCCTGGTCATAAGCGAGCACACCGAGTTGAGAAGCAAAGTCCTGTCTCATTTGATCGTTGCAAACCACAGAGTGACCTGAGGCTATTACCCCCATGTGAATGCGAGGTTTTGTCGGGTCCCTGTGCAAGAAAAGGGTATTGTGAGTCAAAAAGACTTGTAGAAAAAGGTATGGATGAGAATGAATATCTTGACAGTACATGTGACATAAATAGGTCTCTTGCAATGTAAAGATATTCATTCTCATTTATCTATTTCCCTACACAATGAATATTGTTCATCATACAAATATGTGTAAGGGATTAAGAATTTCTTGTATGTTCTTCACTTTGAAAACATTGCTGGGAAACTCTCTCTCTGAGAGTCTTCCCTCTCTTATTCCTGTTCATTCACTTTTCTTTTTTATTTGCTCTCTCTTTTTTCATTTGTTCCTTCACCACCTCACTTCCTTACCCAACACCCACTCACTCCCTTATATACCCCTTTACTTATTCTCTCAGCAACTCACTCAGTCACCAATTCACTCACCAACTTGCTTAGTTACCTTTTCATTCATTCACTAACTCATTTGCTTAGCTCTACACAGTTACTATTTGACTCACTAACATATTACCTCAGTGGTCACAGCTGGCATGATATACATGTCGTGTCTACAATATTTTAGTTTATCAAATGTCTTTACACATAGATGGCTCCACAATTACTTAGTCACTAAGGAATCAATTATTAGGCCTACCTACCTCTCTTTTACCTTTTGCTTTGATTTTCAGAAAGATTCTTTCTTATGTTTTACTGTTTGTTGGGAATTTCTCAAAACAAATCACAAATTGTGATTTGAATATGTTATTTGCATGGTCTACATATTTATTTTAGATATTGATCTATTTCATACATTTACTTAGGCAGCAGCTGTCATTGTGATAATTTTTATCTTTCTTCAATATACCAAAGGCATTGAATCAAGTCTTTGTCCCTTTGTCTTTTTCTGTCTTTGGGCCTGAACTCTGTCTCTCTATCTCTTCCTGTTCTCAATTCTATTTTTTTTCACTTTGGTTACCGAAGCATTAATTATATCATTTATATATTTTGGGGGGTTAGCAAGGCAGTGGCATATCTCTTAAGGAGCACGAATGGGGCAGGGCCGCATCTCTTCTATATACTAGCTTATAGGTCTCCACTGGGCAAAATATAGTACCTGTATGCCTCCCCAGCTAGGGTACAATTCAGTGAACAATAATGAGAAAATTTTACACTTATTTTTTTTATGTACTACAGCATCAACAACACAGCTATATGGTAGGTTTGAAAGTTAAATATATTCATTTATATAAGGCTGGGAGAGTTTTAGTTGTATAGTATATAAATAATACATGTTTGGTTAGGAATATTATTAATGGTAAAATCAAAATTCTTTAGGTAGTAGGCAAAGTCCTGCAGGGTGACTTCCCCACATTGAGAATATGTATATGGCAAGATTCTTTCCTTCTTTGTTTTGTTTGCACAGCTGACAAGTATAAATAGGAGTAAACCTTATTCTTTCTCTACCTGCAGAAGCACTTCCTAGATATCAAACATTTGGATCATCGCGTGAGAGGCATTAATGGGAGCCGTTGACAAGAGTTGGGTTGTGGTGCTACTTCAAGGTGCTGCTCTATGCCTAGGGCAACGAGAGGACACCCTTTCCTAGAGAGATCTCTACAGCTTTAATAATTTTCTGCAATTTCAAGGAACAGAGAACTCAGGTGAGGTCACAACTATTTGCTAATTGACTCCTTTGTGGCTGAGCACTTTTGTGAAACCATCTGTGTACAACAAAATTCACAAAAAAATACAGTGGACAATACATAAAACTGCAACCAATGGGTTAACACATTAGGTTTGGGTGTACAAACTTCAAGGAAAAGGGAGTGCCAGAAAGGGCACAAAGTAGATAAGAATTTGATGATTCCCTGTTCAGCCATACGTCATTCTGAATATTCTTTTCAGGCCGTCCCTTTTACCCAATGGTGTAGACAGACATATGCCAGAAGCATCACCTTCACTCAATCTGCTTATCATCACCGTCACTCAACCTGCAGGATAAGTTCCTCCTTGTTCAGGGTCTATCGCTAAGCTTCCTGGTATTTGGAATCATGAATGGTGTATGCATGTATTCAGATCAATTGATGTAATATAGGTAATTAAAAACGCCAATTGGAAATGAATTGACTATTTCAACTGGTCAAAGCATCATTCTGGCTGTCTTATAAAAATTAAGTCAAATCCTTATTCCAACCTGAAAACATATCAACTGAAAGACACTTTCCATAGAGCAGGATATGCTAACATCCTTTGTTGACTATTAGCTGGAATCATGTTCTTCAATACAGCTATTATAAAGCTCAGCAATTCCATCAGTAGTATTGAAGGAATCCTGTAACTCTTGTTAAAATTACAAAGCAGTGTCACCAGTCAATTCAGGTTTTAAAAGATCGTCCTGTATGTGGTGCAACTTGATAAGGTGTGCTGGCATCTACATGTGGCTAGTGAATATTGTGAATGGGACACAAGCATAGATAGCAGTATAGAGGAAAAGCTTATGGCATAAATACCTTATTCTTAATATTGGCTTATCCGTTGGTCTGTCTGATAATCTTTAAGAATAAAATATCAAATAAGGGGTACATGAAAACAGACTTTTTTGGATACATTAGTTACAATCAGTTTAATTGTCACTTTCATAAATAGACTCTAAAAGTGAAAATCATGAGCAAATTATTACTACATACTATCAAGTGAACATCTAAAAAATACTATATTATGCAGCAATATCCCAAACTCATGTCAGTACATTACAATAATCATCTTGGTTTACTACTTTTCATTAAACATATTACCATACCAATGTCTTTTTTTAACAATCCTTGCATTTGTTTTACATATTTACAGCTTTTGGACATCATTTAATAATTTGGAGGTGAAGATGTGCTTGTGCAACAAAAATGAATTTTGAAAAACCCTACCTCTTTCTTCATAAATTTAATCACAATCTAAGTGCAAGTGCAGGCATGAGTCTGCGGAAACCTCATCAGTTCCATAAAAACTTAATGCCCAAATGCATTGTTACAGGGCAGCGAAACTGAGAAGGGATACAGGGTGGGAAGAAGACCTTTACCTGACATTCTCGGCCCCTTCGGGTGGCATGGGATGAGACACCTCAATCACATCTGAGCCTCCAATACTCATGTACAGCTTGTCTGTCCCTTCATCTGGTCTCTTGAAGTCCATCTCCTGTGCTGCTAATTTGCCATTACCTTCAGACATGTACTGGAGCCAGGGTGCTGGGCCACATGCTTCCTCACCCTGGGGTAAGGGAAAAAGAAAATAATAATAATAATAATAATAAGTAAAAAAAATCATTTATTCACTATCACAATGCATTGGTAAGAAAAATGAAATACTACTACTACTGCTTCTGTTACAATGAGCACTGTCATTGGTTCTACTTTTACTACATGAGGTATATGGTGGCTGCTGCTCTTACTACCAGTACTAGAACTACCAAAAATTATATTAGTAATGATAGTTATGACCACATTAATGAAGGTCAGACAAGGCAGGGTTTATTTGATTCTTCCTGATATACATGTAGCACATGGTGACCCCTAATATTTAAGACTTTTGCAAGAAGTTATGTTACCTGTTCCTTTAGCTGTTGAGCAATTTTCTGTAGAGTAAGGTCAGGTGGTCCCCAAGACTTGGTGTCAAACTCAAACAGTCCATCTTCTAATACCTTTGCTCCCTCACAATACATGTATAAAAACCTGAAAAG